TCGACCAAGAGTCTTTCCCAGAACGACCGCGACGGAAAGCGCTCTCTCATTCCTCTGGAGGCTAAGCGATCCTCGCCAGTGACCTTTCCCAGTAGAAAGAACTTTATGCATAGCAGCGATAACGTCGGCATCAATTACAGGTAGCGACAGCTTCACTGCAAAAACCAATAGGTGAGGTGACGCGTGTAAAAAAAAAAAAAAAATTTTAAGTGTCAATTACCTCTCCTCGCCCATCTCGCCTTAACAAGGGCAACACCGTCCGCTCCGGCGGTCCTCTCTGAAATTTCAGCAAAAAAGAAACGGTCCTCGAAGTGCTTGTCTTTGCTAGGAAACCCGTCGATAAGTCTCCGACCCGCCACGGGAGTGATGCTGTACTTGAGCTCCTCCTTCCGACCGCGAGTCCGAAAGTCCAGCAAGCAGGACAAGTGCTCGATGCTGATCTCAACGCCATGCTCCCGACTCATCACGTAGACGCCGACAAGATGTCTGAGGCCCCTCGGGTTGACCTGAGCAAGGGTAGCTTGGTTCGCCGCCAGAAAACGAAGGAGGCATCCAGGCACCGGAAAACGAATTAAGCATGAGTCAAAGTAGTTCTCGTAAAGAATAAAGTACCCGGGAGGCAGTGCATTGGCCCTGTCAGTGGAAACGGGGGCAATCAACTTAATCTCCTCCGAGATTGAGCATCTCCCCCGAAGAAGCTGGAGTGCTTCCTCATCCGTAAGGGAGGACCCAGGAGGGTTTGGACGGACCGCTGCCTTTCGCTTCTTCCTAGCCATTATCGGTTGCTCAACCCCAACAAGTGCAGCTTCGTCATCTCCTTCCGTACTAGACGCTCGCGAGTTGAGCGAGGATGAAGAGGGAATCGATAGCGATGCATCAGCGGCGCCCGGCGGTAGCTACGGATCCACGTCGTCGATAAACTGGGGGTCTTCGGTGACAATGACACGCTTGCTCGGAGACATCGGTGTCTTACTCAACGGCTCGTCGGCGATCGAAAAAGAACCGATGTCTTCGGCGGTAGAGAAGCACTAACGCCTTCGGAAGCACGACGACGATGCCTCGCACCTTCGGAACCGCGAGTAAGAGACCTCGCGTCTTCGACATCGGGGTCACGAGGAGAAGACCTCATGTCATCGGGTCCAAGACAAGAGGACTTCGCGTCTTCGGCTCCTTGACAAGAAACGTTCGCGTCCTCGGGTCCACGCGGAGATGCCCTCATGACCTCGGGTCCGCAGGAAGCCCCCGTGTCTTCGGGACCTTGGGTACGACCTCCCTTGTCCTCGGCAATACAGGGAGGGATGCTCGCGACATCGGTTCCACGGGAAAGGTCTCCCGCATCATCGGTGGTAAGGGCAACAAGTGTATCTTCGGCGGAAGCGAGACCGTGGCCACCCACTTCGGACCCACGCTCCGATTCGAGACCTCTTGAATCCATAAACACCAAATTTGTCTACACACAACAAAAACAAGGATCTATGGTCAAAAATCAACCAAGAACAAATCTCATTCATAAGCAAAAAAGCAAAGAGGATTCTCACGAAATCAACCCAAAACCAAAATCAATCCACAATCAAAGCTTAGATTCAACAGTTTCTCCTAGCAATCAACTACCAATACTTGCTACCTAGCACCACAAATCTCACTCAACCAAGCTTGGATTTTTCAAGAAGGAAAAGCCATGGAATCTAGAGGATTTGTGCAAAAAAAAAAATTAACAAGGATGCTCACCAAAGAAAGGAA